ACTTCCTTTCCTAATTTAGTTTTTTCCTAGAATAGTGCAATATGCACGCTCTTTAAATTCCTCTTTGTATTCAATTGTTTACATATGAACAAAAATATCATTTTTATATTTCTGTACCAAAAGAAAAACATTTTCAGGTAGGGCATGTGCGCAAAGGTTAAGCTTATAGTGGTACTGATTGAAATACATCTGTTTGTGACACACCCATTAATCAAATCAGAATTGTAAAACTTATCTCTACCTGTATTCAGGTGCGGAAGCTTGATTAGATCGATGTGTTCTTCCAAATTGTTGAATTGCTCGGTCTGCACTCCAAGGTAGTTCTAGAGTTAAATGAACTCTTCTTTTCTGTTGAGATATGGGGAGAATGAGAAGACGAGTAAGAAACAGATCCAAACTCAACTAGCACTTAAGAACAAGGAATAGGTATGTGAATAAATCCTTATCCAACAGGAACTCATGGAATATTGGAATGAAGTAGAAATATAACGAAAAATGACCTGATTTATGGCCCTTCTATCTGCTTGCAATGAAACACCAGCTGATCCAGCTTCGGAAATAATAGCTACCAGCTTCTTACCATCCATGAAGAGTTGCTTTTCATGCATATTGACCATTTCCATGGTCACGTCTTTCCTGAGCCACGCCAAATAGTGACTTAATGATAATAAAATAAAGAAAAAAAGCAAGTGCCTTTGTTCCCAAAACTCACGTGTTTCGTGCCTGATAGGTGACTCCTTTTCCACCAGAAGCTCTGACAAGCATGCCTCGCCTCCCTGTTATTTCTGAGACTTTATCAGGGCCTCCAAGCTGCACAGGCATTGCAAGGTTAATAGAAGACGAAAGTTGTGAAATATTAGTGAATATTGACAGGTATTTAGTTTGGATCATGCAGCTACCTGATCAATAATATCATCCAATGGATTGTTTGGAAGATCCATTGAACGAATTATTTCTAAAATATTTGATTGACGCTCCACTGCTACTTCATACCTAATCATAGCCATCGAAATCACGTGCAAGGTTCAAAAATAACACTAGCATGCTATCATGAAAGGAAAAATGGTTGGCAAAATAAAAACCTTTTTTTGCACAAAAGATACCTCTTAAACAGTTCTGCAACATAGGCACGTCTCTCTTGGAGATATTCCTCCGTTTTTTCCTTGCACAAGTGACAAGACCAATCCTCAGGTGCTGCTTCAACAACAGGTGGAACTAGACATGCAGGATGGACAAGCTGGCCACAGCAAGAACATTGTAGTAATTTCTTTCTTTCCTACAGAAGTAAAGAGAGGTGTCACTGTGGATAGATTAAAAACACACCAATATGTCCTATAAATCTAAACAAGAGAGAGAGAGATACCTCTTCTGAGTTGCAGATGTTGCATATCTGAAACTCATCGTCAGATCCAACAGATTCTGGTTCAGTGTCGGCTGCACTCATCAGAAAGAGAATCAACAACGATCATGAAAATCTTGCATTGTGAGCAAGAGAGAGAGAGAGCATCATACATCGATGGTAAAATTAATGAGTGAAGAATGGGTGTCAAGTAAAAAGAAGCCATCAATGCAAATGCCTAGATAAAGGTGGAGTTAAGGGGATCTTAAGCATGAAGTTTAGATATTTGTACCATTAAGTGATTTATGCAATGTGTATCAGGAATTCATAGAGCTGTTCAAATGTTATTTATAAGCAGCTATGTTCTCGATAAGCTTCATCAGGTTTACGGACAAATGATAATTTCTTCGTCATAACCAAAACTATTTTCTTTCATGAGAGAGAGAAGAGTGTACTGCAGGAAAACGTATCAATTACATCTGGCCACTAAACAAGGCATATAAGAGCCAAGAGACTGTGAATGTGACTTAAATATAATCAAGAAGTCTTTGGTCCACTCTTTTGAGAGTTGGAGAAGGAACAAGGAGAGCGCGTAGTTGTCTAGTGATAAGGCTAACTTAATTTTGACAGCATTGGCCAAAAGTTGTCATCTTGCCCAGCCTCTCTCCTCTTGTTCCATCCATGAGGCTACATGGCACTGCACATGCAAGACTTCAAAATTCCGAATATGTCATTTACATATTCATGTACTTCGCTGAATGTTGGAATAAATAATGCATTAATAATGATAATGGATGAGACGACATCATGTTGTGATAGAGAAAAAGAATGCTAATTTTCAAAACCATGTAACAGCAAGATTTCGTTCCATATTTGCACTGAAACTACACGTCAGATCAAGGATTATTATAGTTTACTTTCTGATCCCCACTCGCTTTCTTCATCACTTTCAGCTTGCCATTTAGCAACTTTCCTTACTCTCCCAGTGAAGGAAACATCAGGCTTTGCTGAGCGTCTCTTTTTTGGTAGCTCTTTCTCACTTTCCTCTGAACACAAAAGTAGAAAATGAATACTTCAGGACGCTAAAAAAAGAAGAGGAAGATACATACTGTTCCACTATACAAACTATATACATACCTGGGAGTGGTTCAGGCTTCTCGGGCAGAGGATAATTTTCTTCAACAAATTTCAGCAACAATTCACGAGGTCCCGAGACGAAATCATCAAGTTCAAGACCCTATTTCCACACAAAAGAACTTCCCCTATGAGAAAAATTTGTTGAAAACAAATTCATCAAGAAAATATACCCAAAATTCATGATAAGAAAGTTACTTGACAAGCATTTTGATACTTTAATAATTTTCACCCAAGAGTATGACAAGTTGATAACATATGTGGCAGGAATTTGGGAATCCAGGAGATTTAAGCATTACTGCAGGGGAGGGGAGGCTCACATATTTTGACACAGCTTCCTCAGTCCGTGCTTCTCCAGTACTCTGTAGGCCTATGACCACACACTTATTTTCCATCAATGCTTGCTTAGAAAGATTTACGACTGCAGGCACCTTGGCTGACATGCACATGTGTCTAAAGAAACGCTACGATTCATGGAAACAAAAATAGGTATGAAATGTGCATAAGGAAAAAATTGAAAGCATTAAATATATCTAGGTTATTTGCTGCAGACTTGAAGAGTTGATGTTTATAAACCTGATGATTTGCCCAAAATAATCTCCACAATTGACTTGAGCTCGGCTTGTCATTGGTGAGGAATGTGCTTGCTGATAGTAATTCCATTCTCAACTTGGCCCAAAATTCTGCTGCTTTTCTATACATATCCTGAGAACAGTGAAGTGTCAAGTGGAAAAAAGATAGTCGCAAATGTTAATAGTTTATATGATCAGGAAAATCATGCAACAATTACAGACATAGGTTTTCTAGACAATTTCAATACTGAAACCTCGAAATTGTAAAGGCACAGATACTAGCGGGAACAGAAATAAAATATTCTTTCACACATCGTCAATTTTCATCAACATAATCCAACACATTAACAGCAGACCAACGGTGAAGGGTGGTCTGGATGGACAGTCAGGCTACCGGGGTGCCCGCCCGCGCATATACATAAATAGCAGAGTGGCTCAATAAAAATATATAAAGCATGGTTATTTGCACAATTTTCTCTTTACAGGATGGTAATACTGTAACCAACTTCTGCATCCATCAGATTACAAGAAGTCAAGGAAATGCACCAATTCAAAAGCATATCAAGGATCATGAACTGATTAGAAAGAATTAATAAAAAGTGAAAACATTTAACGCCATAGCATTGCGATATTCAATTCGCCCGTTTGGCAGGGCTTTCAAAAAATCAAAAGCTGCTTCTATGACTAAGAAGCTCCTTTTGGACCTATTTGAATAATTTTCTCTTGATAATAGAGCTTTCAGAAGAAGCTAACCAAAGGTGACTTCTTTGGGAAGCTCTTCTACAAAAAGAAGAAGCTATCCCAGACAAGCCCTAAAAGTACCAAATTTGATGTGAGAAAATGATAACTTTTAAATTGCCATATGTTCAGTAGTCAATAGTCAATCTCCTTTTTAAGTCAGTACAAACAAGAAACTGCACTATACCGTCATACTGGAATTCAAGGGAACTTCAACAACTTCGAATTCTACACCTTCGTAGCTCAGCGTACGACAAACATACATACCCCTAGAAAAGAAAATGTGATTTTAATTGACAAAATTGTTATTTGTGTTAATTATTCCATACGGTATGCTAAATCAAAACCTTGCTTTCATGTCCATGGCAACAAGTTCTAGAGCTCCAACGCCTCCTTTCTCCATTGCACCTGTAAAGGATCATGAGAGGTAGCCACAACTTTACAATCATTGGATAAACATAATAGAAAAATAAAATTGTGTGAGTCTTTAGGTTCACTGAAAACATAAAAAATAAAAACCGAACAGCACATAATATATGCCTGAAGACCTGCAGTTGTACCGTGCTGGATAACTTGAGGGAACATACTAAACAAGTGATGTAGCACGTGTCTATAAGAAATGCAGAATCAAGCAAATGTGAATAACACAACAACATCCAGGTTGGTGAAATGCAGGAGTCGTGTCGACTCGACAATCAAAGATCGTCTCAAACTATCCATATCATAACAAACATGTCAGACATCAAATCATAGTTCGATTTGCTATTATTTTCTCAATGCATAGGAGAAGAACTGTAACTCTCCCTCTTATACAATAAATCTTGTCCAACAAACATTTTATCCATTTCTTAATGAGGCTGTGAGCATATTGAGAAGATGAAACATAAGTGACACAGATATGAGACTATTCCATATTACTTTGGAGATGGGTCTCTAGCTTTTCAAATTGTAAAATTAATGACATTTCTTCTGAAATAAAATTTGAGAAAACAAAAAAGGAAATGAGAAGGAAGGTTAAAGAAATGAGCTCGGATTTCTTAAGTTGGATAAAGAAAAAAATCGGTCAAACCAATTAGCACGGAAATTACTGATGAAACTGAAGGTAAGCCTATAATTCAGCCAAAAGATATCATCAGCGTAGCTACATAAGTACCCTGAATTCATGGAAGATAGCTTACATAAATTTAAACTAGATATCAATTTGACTGACAGCTGCACTAAATGAAAATCGCACCTAAAAATTCACGGAAGTTGATAAAAGATGTTCCAACTCCCCAAAGACCAAGGCGAACCATGTAACCCATATTGCGTGGTTCAGAAGCACCAGTAGCCGAGCAATAAATAACACGAGCTTCAGGAAGTCGGGCCTAATATTTAAGAATCAAAGTGACAATTAAATTTCCATTAAGACACTGCAAAGAATAATGCTATTACTGCTTATTCTTTAGAAGGTTCACATGCAAGAAATATAACAATTTCGCACTGTTTCTGCAACTAATATCGATAGAATATGTAAACTACCGAAAAAGGAAATCACAAACAAGTAAACTGTAAGGGCAGGCAACATACAAATACAGTCACATGAAATGGAAGGCCAAGACACAAAAGCAAGATTTAGCCCATTTTTTATCCCCATTATTTCCAAAATACATTTTTTTCTCTCTTCTTTTCAACCACACATTCTTCAATAATAATATTATACACAAACCCATAAATTTTCCTTATTTTTAACCACACATTCATTTTCCATTAATCTACTATTCCAAAATGCATTCTTAGTCATAAAAGGGGCTTAAACAGATACTTAAATTATATGATAGAGACAAAACAAATACATAATACAATTAAAAAAAAAAAAAAAGGGGTTATAAAGGACTACAAAAAGCTGACGGGTAATTGGTACAAAATGTCACCATCATTTGCAGTCCCTATCATTTCAAACTTGGCATTTGCACCCTCATCTCAATATTTCCTTGCGGAGTTGGTCCTTTCCATCTCATACTATCAATTCCTTTCGTCAAATACGAGTAATTTTTGCAAAACGTCCTATCTTTTGCCTTCGTTGCGCAAATCATCCCTCTCGTTTCAATTTTAGTATTTGGACCCTCAAATTGACCTTTCTTTGCGCAAAAGGTCCTTACAGTCTATTTTCTCTATAATTCTATTTTTGAGGGTCTAAATGCTAAAATTAAAATGATAGGGACGATTTGCGCAATAAAGGCAAACTATATGGACGTTTTGCGTTAATTAACCAATTGCATTCTACACTATGGAAGTAGGGATGTCAAACGGGCCAAACGCCTCGGCCGCTTGGCTCGTGGGCGGCTTGAGCCGAGTAGGGGCTCAATCCCATGAGCAAAGCATGGCTCGTCGAGCCCGCAAACGGCTTGTGGGCACACCACCCACAAGCCAAAGTTCACAAGCTCGTGAGCTCATAAAAAATGTGCAAATTTACAAAAAAATTTAAAAAATTAAGAGCTCGCGAGGGGCTCGTGGGCTCGGCTGGGCTTGACTTGAGAACTCGTGGCTCCTGAGCTCACGAGCTCGTGGGTTAAAGGGCCAAGCCGATCCCTATATGGAAGGTAAGATATAGCATCAACAATCGCGAACAATTAAGTCGTATAACATAATTAGCTCATTTCAAAATGCAGAAATTGGGGATAATGCAAATGCCGGTTATATATAATGGGGAAAATGCAGAACAAACGGCTGAAAACCTAAAATTGATAGAGCCTTGAATTAAGAAGACCAACAATATTACAAAAAACAAAGAAGAAAGCAACTGCAGAGGCACAAGAAAACCATGTGCAATGAATGATTGCCCCATAATAAGGGCTTCAATTAACAACTACAAAGCTGAATCTATCCACATTGCTGTCAAATATTAGATAAATCCATGTTTCTTATATCCTCCATGACATGTATCATCTCCAAAAACTGGTCATTACCCTCCCCCACTTATATAGAGCTTTTACTAGACAATCCAAGATAGATCCTAGCATTTACTCGTATTCACTTTCAGTACTCCCCAATTTTAAATTATCTTTCCTCATAACTCAGCCCCAAAGGTGAAGGCATCATCTGATTAAGGAGTCATGTTCTTTAAACGAAGAATAAGACAAGCTGCAAAATGATTAACTGCATAAACTTTAGAATAATAATTCCCAGAGCTAGAGAATTTCAAGGGCAACCTGAGGTTGTTGATAGTCCTCGCAACTAAAGTAAGAGTTTGAATTATATTTCTTGCAAGCTTGTCAATTTCTAAAGACATCTGCAGTAAACTGAGGTGATAAACAGATTTCGAGGGTACTAATATTGTTGCTTTCCCAGTTCATTTCACTCTTTTGTCACGATTATTGGCTTCCAAGTCTTGTCCTTGCCACCACACAGCCCAAAAAATTGCCACTAAATATTCTAACAAACTTAATAGCAAGCCTTTCAACAGAATGGCTACCAAGCCAATTCCAATCTTCTATAATCTAACTCACACTCGTCATCATGGATCTTCAATAGCCCTTCCAATATGAATGATGTCTTACATCATAACAAAACTGCAGTTTTTCTACTGTGCATTATTCAAAATGTAACAGGGGATGAACAGTGGATCTCCCACCAACCCAAGCTCCCGCTCCCCCCCGCACATGTGCTCGAAAAACCAAAGTTTTACACTTGAGTGTTATCAATAGCACGAGGAGTTAAAATATTGTCCTCTTTTCTTTTCTTTTAACGATTACATTCACTCACATGATTCAGCAATCTGATGGACTAAATTTGCCACATTCAACTTTCAAGTGTCAGGACATCGACAGAACAAATCAACCAGATATTTTTGGGTATCAATTAAATGAACAAGGACGATGGAGTATCAGGTTGCTAAAGGAATAGATAGTTTCTAAAATTTTAAAAAAGCTAACATTATCCGACTTAATTCATCTCTCTTCATTCTTTGCCAGACAAATTCGACAAAAATGATGGTTGACCATCATAGTATAGGATTCAACAGAAACAAAGCAAACCAACCTGGCAGAAAGACCAATCATTATTCTCAAAGATCTTATATTCAGTGAAATAAGGTTTATAGCTGATATAAGCGAACAGAAATAGAGTTAGTGGAGGGAAGGGGATGAGAGAGAGAGAGAGATTCCGGGTCCCCCAGCTGCCAAGATATGCAGAAATAGAATGAACTGTTAGATATGTAGAAATTCCTCTATCACATTCAGATATTGCCTTATTAAGATTCAGATTATTTCCTATTAACAGATTCTTAGGAAACCATTTATGTAATGGTATAGGCTGTAATATTTCATTTTCTAGTTTGTATAGCCATTACGATCTTTTAAATAGCTGCACATTATTTCTTTTCTATCTTGTAATTTCTAGTCCTATAAATCTGTGACTATCATTCTTTTCAAATTTATAGAAGCTATTAAGCCTTTTCCACAGGAAGAAAGCCAAAAGTAAATATATCTCATGGTACAGCTAAAGGATTGAAAGTGAGACGTGTTTTTGACAAAAGTTCAATTATCTTTAGCAAAGTACGCACCTGAATCTCGAGAACAGCTTCTCCTGTTCTTGTAGATTGTCCTCCAGCTTCTGGGACCAAATTTTTGGCTTTGTGACACTAAAATAAGCAATCATAAAAGATGTTGAAGATTTCCTTGCATGAAACACACCGAACTCACTTCAAGATTAGCTTATGCAAGCCATGTTGATATATTCATTTTGCGAGATCTGATACCTCATCAAATATGATTAGACCATCATACTGAGGTCCACACCATTGTACAAGCTGCTGCAAACGAGAACGACCCTTTTCAGAAGATGCAATGAGGCTGCTATACGTCAAGAAAACAACTCCTTCCCTAATGCCAACGGACTTTGAGTCAAGCTTAGAATAAGGAAGCTTGTTCAAAGCATGCACTACAAGATAAAAAAAATATATATAAGAAAACTCAACTGAGAAATCCTCTAAACATGCAGTACAAGATAAAAAAGTATAAGAAAACCCAACAGAGAAATCCTCTAAACCTCAAATGGTTTAGGTTAACAATAACAAAATATCCTCACTATTGAACCATATTATGATATCAGTGAACATATATTCCCAGACAGAGAGGGAAAAAGACAATAGTACAACATAATTAAATTATCATCTTATTATTTTGTTTAACCCCTAGCAGATCTGTATACAACAAGTATTAATGTATATTGACCCAATTAAATTCGAAAACATCACAAGCCGAAAGTATAAAATAAAAATCAGGGGATTGAAACTATATTATTCCATATTTTACTTAATAAAAAGGTAATACCAAATTAAGCCCTTGATATTGGTTGACCAAACATAGACTAAAGAGAAGGTTGTCCTTGTTTATTGCTTCCATATGCAGGTTTATTCTCTTTCTTCCCCTTCCTATGGTTTTAAACCGTGAACTGGTCAAATTATTGTGTACCCGTCTAACATCAAACACCTTCAATTAAGATTCAAACAGCCACCACACCTATCAGTCCTAAAATTGATGGAAGGAACAAATTTGTGTATTAATATAATTCGCTAATTCAAGAAGGTGCTTTCAAAATATAAAACATAACATGGACAAATCACCTATGATAATGTTTGCCTTAATAAATATTGAAGTTTAAATATATGCAACTGAATGCCCCCCATCCCTCCAAAAAAATAAAGAGAAACTCAATGACCCCAGATATATGGAAGAAAGGGAACATGAGAAAATAAAACCCCAATTTCAAGGCAGTTAATAGAAAAAAAGAATGTACAAAAGCAGCATGTACCTTCTATACACATTGCACCCACGTCATCCAAGTCTCTCCTAGAATCAAATTTCAAGTCTGAACCAATGGAAATCCACCTGCATAAGGTCATTTGAAGAAGAAACAATTTAGAAATCAAGATTAATTAGAGACTGCATCAGAGCTTAGCCAATCACTGGTGCTCAACAAAATTAAGATAAGAACTTGTGTAACACCTAACTTACACTAACTAGTGAATCTTACAGAACACTTACAATGCTTTCCTTCTCCCTTGGTGCCAGTTCTCCCATATTAAGCCTGCAATAGTTCGTCCTTTACCCACACCAGCACCATCTCCAAGAAAAAATCCAGCCCTTGCACCATTCGGAAGGTGGTGAAGATGCCTCTGTCATGGAAACAAGATAACATTGTAAACATTAAATACAACATACATATATCTGTCTCTATGTATGTCAAGATGTAAAAGCAACCTGACAAGCATAGACCAATGTTTCAATTTGCAAGCATGATAGTGCTTTTGAATTTTCCAGGTCATCCTTAGTTCTCAGATCATAAGTAGGTTCAGGAGGCTGCACTGCAGATAAGGAAGATGTCTCCACAATAGGATCCGGATGGGGAGGACCAATTGACAGTTTGGGAGGACGCTGAAAAGAAATACAGCTCAATGCAGAGTGAAGGTAGCTAGAGAAAACAGATTATTCAAGGAGAATAAGGACTCGTACGTAATCCATGAAAGTTTCTCCCACCATTCCACCTTCATCTTCTTCACGCTCAACTTCGACGGCTACCTGAATGGCATTAAAAGTAAAATATCAATGATTTTCTTTAATTCCAAGAAAGTACACTATTAAGAAAGATATCCTCTAAAACAAGCAACTTCTAAGGATGAAATTGATAATAAAAATATATAAAAAAATAGGGATGGCAAAAAACTCCGTCAAACACAATACCCACAGGCCCCCGTCCCGAACGGGTACCCGCTTCATCGGGTATTCGGGTCAGGGACGGTGTGGGGAAGTTCGCCCGGGGCGGCTAAGGGTAACAAAGGCCCCGCCGCGCCCCGTTTGTTTATTTATTTTTTGAAGAATTCAATACATTAAAAGGAAAAGTCCACGAAATTTCATTATTTCTAATAAAAAATGGCAACTAAGATTATCTAAGAAATATGACAAACAATAAAAGCGAAAAACTAATATGGAAGCTTAAAGTAACAAAAATGGTTAAACTCATTCTTAGAGGATGCAAAATTCAATGAGTATAATTGGAGTCAAATGACAAATAAGAATGTGCAAAAAAAATTTGGACAAGAAGGAGGATCTGAATAAAAGCAATGAATCGGAAAAAGAAAGAGAAAGAAAGATGTTAGATCTTAATGCAAGAATGTATCTTCCGATGCATGAGTGGCAAGTATGGATACGAATATTTTTTTATATGACAAAAAGTTCCAGCATGTACTTTTCTATTAAGATATATTATTCTTCATAATTATTTTTCTAGCAAGGAACGGTAACACGTTAAATGGGATCAGCAATCATCAAGTCACAAATTATGGTCTTTCTCAGAGGTTATCTACATTGAATTTTATTTTATTTTACTTTTTATCAGAACATGGCATGCTTGCCAAGTTAAAGATATAATATTTACAACGGAATGTCGAAGTTCATAACATGAATAAAAATGTGTAGGGTATTGAGTCATTTGAAGACACGTAATTAGTGAAAACCATATTAAAATTTGTACGGTAAAATATCGAAGTTGCCCCTAAACTTTCCCCGAATGTTTCTCAAATCTATTGAACTTTAAAAGTTTTCAGACTTGCCAATGCCAATGAATATTCCCAAATGTTTCCAAGTTGCCATTGAACTCAAAAAATTTTTCTAGTTGCTTCTGAACTTACAAAAATGTTATTTCATGTGTCATTCGTTGTTTCAAAAGTTAACAGACTTAACTTTTTAATGTGTAATGGCAATTGAGAAATATTTGAGAAAGTTCAATGGCAACTCGAAAAATGTTTAAAGTTTAATGCCAAATAATAAACATTTGGGAAAGTTTAGTAGCAACTAGGATATTTAACTCTCACTTCTTCTATATTGCATAACAAAATATTACTATTGTCATTACAAAATCAATACTCTTATTTTTACGGCAGTCAATGTGATGGGTACTAGTCCAAATGTTAAAGCTGAAATAGAATGTGAGACCCTTGATATATCCAATGAAATATCTCAGTCAAGAATGACAAGGTTCAATCTTCAACATTGGAAAGCTACCTTTGACCAACTTTTGTATATTCAGTCCCACCAATGATTGAACGTCTGGCTCAATTGCTAGGTTAATTATTGTTGCACTATGAACAATATACATCCATCGTTGGGGGATATCTAGTCCACTTCGAAGAGCTATTGCAAAGTTATGATAGTTATCAAGTTCCCCACATTATAGCGTCTAGGTTTCACAAAGGTTTAAATCCTCAAATCTTGACTGAAAACATTCCAACACCTCAATCCTAACTTTTTTCCTTTTTTCCTATTAACTAGGTCTCTTAACTTTAAAGTATCGATTGAGACTAATCACCAAATATGCTAAAAGTAATAATCTCACGAAACTTTCACATGGACCACAGTGAAATCCTAGAAGGTTTATCTGAATAGACATCTCATGAATCTCTTTATTATTTAGATTGGAGCAAATTACTCAAGAAAAATCCACTTAGAAACAATTCATAATCAACTATCACTTAGTCTTTCCAGAAAATAAAGAGATTCCTTCATAAGGCAAGCCATTGTTATTACTTTCTAAACAGAGCACGATTGATCATGAACTAATATCAAGCATGGTCAGTAGTACACTTCGTTCCTTTTCTCAATAATCCACACGTGAAATACACTTAATTGGTGATGTCCCAAAAATTTTTATTAATGACACCCCATTCTTGGCTATTTATTTGTTCGGGAATCCAAAATTCACATCCCGAGCAAAGAAATTCAATGGGATTCTCAAAAAGTAACATAAAACATTCCAATTTCCATGTCACTACATACTTTGCTAACACTAAAAATTAAAAGCAAAAAAATAGGAGAAATCAAAAGAGGAAACCTCATTGACTTCTTCAGGAGGCGGGGGCAGGCGAAGATCCGAAGAAAACTGTTGAAATCTTGACAGATCGACTGCCAGTTCAATGCCGCACTGGGGACAATTGAAGCGTGATAAGCCATGGGGAACATTAAGCAAGGCCTTGCAGTGCGCGCAAGGCAGCTGTATCTTCGTCGGATCAATGCCATATGCTGGAACATTACGCAGTTGATGGACCTGGACCTGGACCTGGTTGGGCTGCATCAGCTCAGGCGGCAGCATTTGCGGCAATTTGCAACTAGGGCACGCGAACTCCGTCAAATCCGGGCCCACTGTCAGCACCATCTTGCACCCCGCGCAACGCACCTGGCAACCCCCGCCGTTTCCTCCTGTAGATTGGGATCGCTGTGGAGGCGGTGCCGATATAGGTGTCGTCGGAGGATGGATATAAACAGATACTTAAATTATATGATAGAGACAAAACAAATACATAATACAATTAAAAAAAAAAAAAAAAGGGTTATAAAGGACTACAAAAAGCTGACGGGTAATTGGTACAAAATGTCACCATCATTTGCAGTCCCTATCATTTCAAACTTGGCATTTGCACCCTCATCTCAATATTTCCTTGCGGAGCTGGTCCTTTCCATCTCATACTATCAATTCCTTTCGTCAAATACGAGTAATTTTTGCAAAACGTCCTATCTTTTGCCTTCGTTGCGCAAATCATCCCTCTCGTTTCAATTTTAGTATTTGGACCCTCAAATTGACCTTTCTTTGCGCAAAAGGTCCTTACAGTCTATTTTCTCTATAATTCTATTTTTGAGGGTCTAAATGCTAAAATTAAAATGATAGGGACGATTTGCGCAATAAAGGCAAACTATATGGACATTTTGCGTTAATTAACCAATTGCATTCTACACTATGGAAGTAGGGATGTCAAACGGGCCAAACGCCTCGGCCGCTTGGCTCGTGGGCGGCTTGAGCCGAGTAGGGGCTCAATCCCATGAGCAAAGCATGGCTCGTCGAGCCCGCAAACGGCTTGTGGGCACACCACCCACAAGCCAAAGTTCACAAGCTCGTGAGCTCATAAAAAATGTGCAAATTTACAAAAAAATTTAAAAAATTAAGAGCTCGCGAGGGGCTCGTGGGCTCGGCTGGGCTTGACTTGAGAACTCGTGGCTCCTGAGCTCACGAGCTCGTGGGTTAAAGGGCCAAGCCGATCCCTATATGGAAGGTAAGATATAGCATCAACAATCGCGAACAATTAAGTCGTATAACATAATTAGCTCATTTCAAAATGCAGAAATTGGGGATAATGCAAATGCCGGTTATATATAATGGGGAAAATGCAGAACAAACGGCTGAAAACCTAAAATTGATAGAGCCTTGAATTAAGAAGACCAACAATATTACAAAAAACAAAGAAGAAAGCAACTGCAGAGGCACAAGAAAACCATGTGCAATGAATGATTGCCCCATAATAAGGGCTTCAATTAACAACTACAAAGCTGAATCTATCCACATTGCTGTCAAATATTAGATAAATCCATGTTTCTTATATCCTCCATGACATGTATCATCTCCAAAAACTGGTCATTACCCTCCCCCACTTATATAGAGCTTTTACTAGACAATCCAAGATAGATCCTAGCATTTACTCGTATTCACTTTCAGTACTCCCCAATTTTAAATTATCTTTCCTCATAACTCAGCCCCAAAGGTGAAGGCATCATCTGATTAAGGAGTCATGTTCTTTAAACGAAGAATAAGACAAGCTGCAAAATGATTAACTGCATAAACTTTAGAATAATAATTCCCAGAGCTAGAGAATTTCAAGGGCAACCTGAGGTTGTTGATAGTCCTCGCAACTAAAGTAAGAGTTTGAATTATATTTCTTGCAAGCTTGTCAATTTCTAAAGACATCTGCAGTAAACTGAGGTGATAAACAGATTTCGAGGGTACTAATATTGTTGCTTTCCCAGTTCATTTCACTCTTTTGTCACGATTATTGGCTTCCAAGTCTTGTCCTTGCCACCACACAGCCCAAAAAATTGCCACTAAATATTCTAACAAACTTAATAGCAAGCCTTTCAACAGAATGGCTACCAAGCCAATTCCAATCTTCTATAATCTAACTCACACTCGTCATCATGGATCTTCAATAGCCCTTCCAATATGAATGATGTCTTACATCATAACAAAACTGCAGTTTTTCTACTGTGCATTATTCAAAATGTAACAGGGGATGAACAGTAGATCTCCCACCAACCCAAGCTCCCGCTCCCCCCCCGCACATGTGCTCGAAAAACCAAAGTTTTACACTTGAGTGTTATCAATAGCACGAGGAGTTAAAATATTGTCCTCTTTTCTTTTCTTTTAACGATTACATTCACTCACATGATTCAGCAATCTGATGGACTAAATTTGCCACATTCAACTTTCAAGTGTCAGGACATCGACAGAACAAATCAACCAGATATTTTTGGGTATCAATTAAATGAACAAGGACGATGGAGTATCAGGTTGCTAAAGGAATAGATAGTTTCTAAAATTTTAAAAAAGCTAACATTATCCGACTTAATTCATCTCTCTTCATTCTTTGCCAGACAAATTCGACAAAAATGATGGTTGACCATCATAGTATAGGATTCAACAGAAACAAAGCAAACCAACCTGGCAGAAAGACCAATCATTATTCTCAAAGATCTTATATTCAGTGAAATAAGGTTTATAGCTGATATAAGCGAACAGAAATAGAGTTAGTGGAGGGAAGGGGATGAGAGAGAGAGAGAGAGAGATTCCGGGTCCCCCAGCTGCCAAGATATGCAGAAATAGAATGAACTGTTAGATATGTAGAAATTCCTCTATCACATTCAGATATTGCCTTATTAAGATTCAGATTATTTCCTATTAACAGATTCTTAGGAAACCATTTATGTAATGGTATAGGCTGTAATATTTCATTTTCTAGTTTGTATAGCCATTACGATCTTTTAAATAGCTGCACATTATTTCTTTTCTATCTTGTAATTTCTAGTCCTATAAATCTGTGACTATCATTCTTTTCAAATTTATAGAAGCTATTAAGCCTTTTCCACAGGAAGAAAGCCAAAAGTAAATATATCTCATGGTACAGCTAAAGGATTGAAAGTGAGACGTGTTTTTGACAAAAGTTCAATTATCTTTAGCAAAGTACGCACCTGAATCTCGAGAACAGCTTCTCCTGTTCTTGTAGATTGTCCTCCAGCTTCTGGGACCAAATTTTTGGCTTTGTGACACTAAAATAAGCAATCATAAAAGATGTTGAAGATTTCCTTGCATGAAACACACCGAACTCACTTCAAGATTAGCTTATGCAAGCCATGTTGATATATTCATTTTGCGAGATCTGATACCTCATCAAATATGATTAGACCATCATACTGAGGTCCACACCATTGTACAAGCTGCTGCAAACGAGAACGACCCTTTTCAGAAGATGCAATGAGGCTGCTATACGTCAAGAAAACAACTCCTTCCCTAATGCCAACGGACTTTGAGTCAAGCTTAGAATAAGGAAGCTTGTTCAAAGCATGCACTACAAGATAAAAAAAATATATATAAGAAAACTCAACTGAGAAATCCTCTAAACATGCAGTACAAGATAAAAAAGTATAAGAAAACCCAACAGAGAAATCCTCTAAACCTCAAATGGTTTAGGTTAACAATAACAAAATATCCTCACTATTGAACCATATTATGATATCAGTGAACATATATTCCCAGACAGAGAGGGAAAAAGACAATAGTACAACATAATTAAATTATCATCTTATTATTTTGTTTAACCCCTAGCAGATCTGTATACAACAAGTATTAATGTATATTGACCCAATTAAATTCGAAAACATCACAAGCCGAAAGTATAAAATAAAAATCAGGGGATTGAAACTATATTATTCCATATTTTACTTAATAAAAAGGTAATACCAAATTAAGCCCTTGATATTGGTTGACCAAACATAGACTAAAGAGAAGGTTGTCCTTGTTTATTGCTTCCATATGCAGGTTTATTCTCTTTCTTCCCCTTCCTATGGTTTTAAACCGTGAACTGGTCAAATTATTGTGTACCCGTCTAACATCAAACACCTTCAATTAAGATTCAAACAGCCACCACACCTATCAGTCCTAAAATTGATGGAAGGAACAAATTTGTGTATTAATATAATTCGCTAATTCAAGAAGGTGCTTTCAAAATATAAAACATAACATGGACAAATCACCTATGATAATGTTTGTCTTAATAAATATTGAAGTTTAAATATATGCAACTGAATGCCCCCCATCCCTCCAAAAAAATAAAGAGAAACTCAATGACCCCAGATATATGGAAGAAAGGGAACATGAGAAAATAAAACCCCAATTTCAAGGCAGTTAATAGAAAAAAAAGAATGTACAAAAGCAGCATGTACCTTCTATACACATTGCACCCACGTCATCCAAGTCTCTCCTAGAATCAAATTTCAAGTCTGAACCAATGGAAATCCACCTGCATAAGGTCATTTGAAGAAGAAACAATTTAGAAATCAAGATTAATTAGAGACTGCATCAGAGCTTAGCCAATCACTGGTGCTCAACAAAATTAAGATAAGAACTTGTGTAACACCTAACTTACACTAACTAGTGAATCTTACAGAACACTTACAATGCTTTCCTTCTCCCTTGGTGCCAGTTCTCCCATATTAAGCCTGCAATAGTTCGTCCTTTACCCACACCAGCACCATCTCCAAGAAAAAATCCAGCCCTTGCACCATTCGGAAGGTGGTGAAGATGCCTCTGTCATGGAAACAAGATAACATTGTAAACATTAAATACAACATACATATATCTGTCTCTATGTATGTCAAGATGTAAAAGCAACCTGACAAGCATAGACCAATGTTTCAATTTGCAAGCATGATAGTGCTTTTGAATTTTCCAGGTCATCCTTAGTTCTCAGATCATAAGTAGGTTCAGGAGGCTGCACTGCAGATAAGGAAGATGTCTCCACAATAGGATCCGGATGGGGAGGACCAATTGACAGTTTGGGAGGACGCTGAAAAGAAATACAGCTCAATGCAGAGTGAAGGTAGCTAGAGAAAACAGATTATTCAAGGAGAATAAGGACTCGTACGTAATCCATGAAAGTTTCTCCCACCATTCCACCTTCATCTTCTTCACGCTCAACTTCGACGGCTACCTGAATGGCATTAAAAGTAAAATATCAATGATTTTCTTTAATTCCAAGAAAGTACACTATTAAGAAAGATATCCTCTAAAACAAGCAACTTCTAAGGATGAAATTGATAATAAAAATATATAAAAAAATAGGGATGGCAAAAAACTCCGTCAAACACAATACCCACAGGCCCCCATCCCGAACGGGTACCCGCTTCATCGGGTATTCGGGTCAGGGACGGTGTGGGGAAGTTCGCCCGGGGCGGCTAAGGGTAACAAAGGCCCCGCCGCGCCCCGTTTGTTTATTTATTTTTTGAAGAATTCAATACATTAAAAGGAAAAGTCCACGAAATTTCATTATTTCTAATAAAAAATGGCAACTAAGATTATCTAAGAAATATGACAAACAATAAAAGCGAAGAACTAATATGGAAGCTTAAAGTAACAAAAATGGTTAAACTCATTCTTAGAGGATGCAAAATTCAATGAGTATAATTGGAGTCAAATGACAAATAAGAATGTGCAAAAAAAATTTGGACAAGAAGGAGGATCTGAATAAAAGCAATGAATCGGAAAAAGAAAGAGAAAGAAAGATGTTAGATCTTAATGCAAGAATGTATCTTCCGATGCATGAGTGGCAAGTATGGATACGAATATTTTTTTATATGACAAAAAGTTCCAGCATGTACTTTTCTATTAAGATATATTATTCTTCATAATTATTTTTCTAGCAAGGAACGGTAACACGTTAAATGGGATCAGCAATCATCAAGTCACAAATTATGGTCTTTCTCAGAGGTTATCTACATTGAATTTTATTTTATTTTACTTTTTATCAGAACATGGCATGCTTGCCAAGTTAAAGATATAATATTTACAACGGAATGTCGAAGTTCATAACATGAATAAAAATGTGTAGGGTATTGAGTCATTTGAAGACACGTAATTAGTGAAAACCATATTAAAATTTGTACGGTAAAATATCGAAGTTGCCCCTAAACTTTCCCCGAATGTTTCTCAAATCTATTGAACTTTAAAAGTTTTCAGACTTGCCAATGCCAATGAATATTCCCAAATGTTTCCAAGTTGCCATTGAACTCAAAAAATTTTTCTAGTTGCTTCTGAACTTACAAAAATGTTATTTCATGTGTCATTCGTTGTTTCAAAAGTTAACAGACTTAACTTTTTAATGTGTAATGGCAATTGAGAAATATTTGAGAAAGTTCAATGGCAACTCGAAAAATGTTTAAAGTTTAATGCCAAATAATAAACATTTGGGAAAGTTTAGTAGCAACTAGGATATTTAACTCTCACTTCTTCTATATTGCATAACAAAATATTACTATTGTCATTACAAAATCAATACTCTTATTTTTACGGCAGTCAATGTGATGGGTACTAGTCCAAATGTTAAAGCTGAAATAGAATGTGAGACCCTTGATATATCCAATGAAATATCTCAGTCAAGAATGACAAGGTTCAATCTTCAACATTGGAAAGCTACCTTTGACCAACTTTTGTATATTCAGTCCCACCAATGATTGAACGTCTGGCTCAATTGCTAGGTTAATTATTGTTGCACTATGAACAATATACATCCATCGTTGGGGGATATCTAGTCCACTTCGAAGAGCTATTGCAAAGTTATGATAGTTATCAAGTTCCCCACATTATAGCGTCTAGGTTTCACAAAGGTTTAAATCCTCAAATCTTGACTGAAAACATTCCAACACCTCAATCCTAACTTTTTTCCTTTTTTCCTATTAACTAGGTCTCTTAACTTTAAAGTATCGATTGAGACTAATCACCAAATATGCTAAAAGTAATAATCTCACGAAACTTTCACATGGACCACAGTGAAATCCTAGAAGGTTTATCTGAATAGACATCTCATGAATCTCTTTATTATTTAGATTGGAGCAAATTACGCAAGAAAAATCCACTTAGAAACAATTCATAATCAACTATCACTTAGTCTTTCCAGAAAATAAAGAGATTCCTTCATAAGGCAAGCCATTGTTATTACTTTCTAAACAGAGCACGATTGATCATGAACTAATATCAAGCATGGTCAGTAGTACACTTCGTTCCTTTTCTCAATAATCCACACGTGAAATACACTTAATTGGTGATGTCCCAAAAATTTTTATTAATGACACCCCATTCTTGGCTATTTATTTGTTCGGGAATCCAAAATTCACATCCCGAGCAAAGAAATTCAATGGGATTCTCAAAAAGTAACATAAAACATTCCAATTTCCATGTCACTACATACTTTGCTAACACTAAAAATTAAAAGCAAAAAAATAGGAGAAATCAAAAGAGGAAACCTCATTGACTTCTTCAGGAGGCGGGGGCAGGCGAAGATCCGAAGAAAACTGTTGAAATCTTGACAGATCGACTGCCAGTTCAATGCCGCACTGGGGACAATTGAAGCGTGATAAGCCATGGGGAACATTAAGCAAGGCCTTGCAGTGCGCGCAAGGCAGCTGTATCTTCGTCGGATCAATGCCATATGCTGGAACATTACGCAGTTGATGGACCTGGACCTGGACCTGGACCTGGTTGGGCTGCATCAGCTCAGGCGGCAGCATTTGCGGCAATTTGCAACTAGGGCACGCGAACTCCGTCAAATCCGGGCCCACTGTCAGCACCATCTTGCACCCCGCGCAACGCACCTGGCAACCCCCGCCGTTTCCTCCTGTAGATTGGGATCGCTGTGGAGGCGGTGCCGATATAGGTGTCGTCGGAGGATGGATAATCGGGGGCGGCGGCGCCGATGGCTGCCCCATTTCGATTTATTCTGTCTCCAAAAAAATTAAAAATGTTATTGAATTGAAAAGGAAAAAAGAAGTAATTTGAGGAGATATTACAGTATTACAGATAATTGGAAGAACTTGATGAAGAAGGGGCAAAGGAATTTCGCGGTGTGTTTGGGTTTCGACGTGCACGTTGCCGACTCTCGAGTCTTGAAGCTTGATGTGTGTGCGTGCATGCTGAGTCACCTTAGTTCAACGGCTCAATTCAGTTACTATTTCTTTCTGGCTATGGGCTCTGAAGAATTTACTTTTAATCATTTCTTTTCTTTCTCCCTTTATTTTCCTTATTAGATGGGAATTTGAAATCTGACAGTGTGGATTTTTTTGTGCCTCTTCTGTTCAGGAAAAATTATAATTTGATAGAAATTAGTGATAAATAATATAAATAGTAATTGTAAATTATAAACAAGGTGTTTTTAAATTTAATATCTGATTTTGACTTTTAAACTATATAATGTAAACTAAGCAAGCATTCAATTTTTTATTTTTTTGACGCAAACAAGCATTCAATTTTATTATGAACTTTCGGTAGAGCACAGAGTTGGGCCTAACTTTTTAGTAATGAGATTGCTCAACTACAGTTGACACAATTAACACTATGTCATTGTTTGTGGAGAAAATTGCCTTGAAATATACAATTAAAGACTATTTATCATAAATCAGGGAAATTAGTTTAAAATTCATAATACGGGTGATAATTATATTTTAATAATATAATTAATAAAAATTTAATTAAACATAATTTACTCCACCCCTACCAGTCCCAATCAATTTCAAACTTTCTCACTCTCCTCCTTCTCTCTTCTTTCTCTCTTTTTATTACCCACCTAACCCCTTTGTAACACCACATTTTTCAGCACCGCTGCGCTAGGTGGTTAAGAATGGTTGCACACAACTGCTATTTCTAATGTCTCTACCTTCTTTCGCTTTATCACTCACTCCTTTTCTAATGTCCCAAATTTTAGAAATCGCACCACTGCGCACAGTGACAAACCACTACTTCTATCAATGATTTTTGCTTGCCTTGAGTCGTCACAGCTGCTATAGTTAGCAGTAAGTGCTTCTCGTGGCAACGGCTACTTCTTACCCACCCACCCCCTTTTCCGACGTAGTGGCGAACCACTGTAGTGTAGTGATGATTTTTTCTTGCTATGTGTCGTAGCTGTTGTAGGGGGTGGGTCGTCGCTGCATGTAGTAGTGGTGAGTGCTTCTCGTAGCAAAGACAGCTTTTTATCCCCACCCACCCCATATTTTTCGACGTAACATAACGGCGAACAACTGAGGTGAAGTGAGCTTTGCTCGCAATGAGCTACCCACTGCTTCGGTGGTGAACGTTGGCATTTTCGTCGAATGGCTTGAAATTGATATGGTAGGTGGTTGATATGGTAGGTGGTTGTTTGATTAGATTCGTCGTTTGATGTGGTGGTGTAGGTGGTTGTTTGATCAAATGTGGTAGGTGGTTTTTTTCATTAGATTTGTCATTTAGCCAGAGTTTTTGAATAGTTATTGGTGTTTTGTAAATGGTTCTCGTGATTTCTTGATATGTGGAACAAGTCTGTTATTGGTGGCGTAGGCGACGACGTTCCTTCTATTGGTGGTGGTGCATGTGATTGTGGTGAGGTGGTGTGCACGTGGTTCTCGACGTTGTCGAGAGTATTGGTGGCGACACAACCGGATGTGACCAAGTCATTTTTTATTGTCATTGTCTATGACCACATCTATGGTAACTACCTGGTTATATACTGTCACAAAATTAGACTCTCTTGATCATAGACAATTACATTGAAGACATTTGATCGCGGTTAGTCACAGATTGGAGAAGGTAGTATTTATGGTCGTGGATTGTGGTGCTGATTTGCGGTGTGTGCAAATTTGTTTGTAGTGACCCTATGTGATCGAGCATGTATTTATTGTGACTTTTTATGACCAATTTTTTGTTAATCATAATCGGTTGTGACTTGATCACATATGGTCATATTTAAAATTGACTTGATCACAGACTGAAGACAAATTTAATCATAAGTAGTCACGGATAACATGAGTTAGAGACTTAGTTACGAACAATCACAAATTAAATGGTTACAAACGGTCACTAAAGACAATTTTGGACACAGTTGATCATGTATAACACAGGTATGTTCACAAATAATAAATTCGGTCACAAAAAACACAATTGGTTAATAAGTGTGCTGTAATTTTCAAAAACCGCTTCAAATTTCTGAAAAAAATTTCTACATGCGGGTGCGGTTGGTTCCATGGAGTCAGGTGTAATCTCCAAAAAAATGTATTCAATTTCTAAAAACCTTTTAGGAGGTTGGCATTACATGGTGGGTGGCGTTGGGTAAGGGTCAGCTAGGGGTGGTTTCAGATGGGGAGTAATCTCAAAAAAAAAAAAAAAAAAAGAAAAGAAAAAAAATGAGTTTTCAATTTTTGATTTTTTTTTTT